GCAAAGAAACAGAGGGAGAGAGAAAAGCCCAGAGGAGGGAAGAAACAGAGAGAGAGAGAGAGAGAGAGCGGTTCACTACCACGTAGCCAACGATCAACAATTGTATGACGTTCAGTGGGTGAAGGTAGGCGTCGTCTCGTGACGGTGGTTCAGAGGGTGGGGGTCAGAGCGTCGACCAGGCGTCAACCGACCCGAAGGGGTGCGCGCAGGCGCCACGACGAGCATCGTCGACGAAGCGCCGCGACGCGCCGCGTCAAACGTGCCGGCTATAGGTTAAATCCTCCCGCTCCAGGTTTTTGTTGTTTTTCCGGCGTTGCCTCCTGATCCCGCCTTCAAAAGTGCCAGCGGACCAATCGGTGGCCCGTGCTCGCCGGGACGCCCGGCGTCGAGGCGCCTCCACGACCACCAACGACTTCGACCTCCGGTGATATCTGGACGATCGGTACAACCTAACGTCGATCTCTCGCCAGCAGACACCGAGACTTCGAGACGTCAACTGTCGCCGTCGCTTTCCCCGGCGCGGGTACATTATATCAGTTTTAAAACATATTTCATGTTGCCGGATTTCGAAAATGAGAAAACTCCTCGGGACTGGTTGAGATAGTTTTCATCGGCCGTCGGGATAAATCAGTGTACCGTATATGAAGAACCAGGTTTCCAAGGTGAATCGTTCGTTGAAATTAGTGCGAGGACTATGGGACATTTGTTAACTATTAAGTACACAAATACTTCAGTCTGGATAATAATTTGACTATTGTGCTTGAGTGTAGTGTAGTGAAATTGTCAAGCTTTTGTCGAGTCTTCTGACACGGTAAGGAATATTTGACAATGATATGTTGAACGTCACTTGACATATTCTGTGTGGTTTAGTAGTAAGACTCGATATTTACCAATTCTCCAAAATTACTATGATAATTCTTTACTTTCGGCATATGAACGATTTCAATAATGAAACAGGAAAACTGAGTTCCTTTGAGTTTAATATCAGTTTTATAATGTCAATGCTAATAATAACTCTCGGCGAGACTTTTACGAAGCGAGGAAGCTCGAGGCCAATACATTATCGAAATTGAGAACTGATTCTCATAATCGTAAAATCGATTTTAAGTCGAGCGTTGACGAGGTGAGATAAGTCGACGTGCGACGAGAGCGATGCAAATATATTTTTACTCCCGGCTTTTCTTGCCTAGCCTCGACGAGAGTACGCAGCTAGCATAAAAAGATAATGTATCAAATAACAATTCCCTATTACAATCTGTTACAGAACATTGTCTTCTACTTAGAGAAATGTTTATCGAATCACAATGAACGGTACGACATCCGTTACAACTCCGGAGGAGCATCAGCATCAACATCAGCAACCGCAAAGTGAACCACCCCCAGATCATCCAAGAAGTCCTACTAGTCCTCTAAGTATACGACATGGTAAGTTAATGTTAATCTTATTATTATATAAAGAGAAAGAATGTCATAAGGTATATTCGTAAAGCAGACAATGTTATCCTGAATAATTACTGACTTGAAAAAGAGTGAAAATGGGTTTTTAAAAAAAGAATGGAAATGTGAAATTTTGTTAATATTTCTTGAACGCGATGGAATATAAAAAAATCTTCTATTCCAAAATATTACACATATTAAACATTACATTTTTCCCATTTTTAAGAATGTTCCTTTATATTTGTTTATGATTAAATAATAAGTCAAATATTTTCTGCCATAACTTTTTTACTCAATGAACACGCGTTTACGAATCGACTACCTATATTAATGCACGTTCCAAGGACGGGCTACGCATAAATCAGCCCCCTGCATACTTTTATTCGAATCGTAGTTCCAGGGTGGTAAATGGAAGTAGAGGGTGCAGCAACGAAATTATGCCATTAAAGTAATCAGATTTTAAGTAACCCAAAAAGTATTAAGTAATAATTCTCTAGGTGCTGAGCGAAGAAGGCAAAATCTTATCCACAGTATACTTGAATTAAATATGAAGTACATATTTATATTTATAAATCACACGCACAGTTATTTCATAAAAATTTTTTTAAAGAAATGTGTTCTTTATTTTATGCAGAGTATTGAAACCCCAATAATTTTCTTTCACGTAAAAATTCGTAGTCTAATTATGTAATATACAACTCCATGAAATTGCAAAACTAATATTTTTCTACAATTCTTATTCAGAATTTTACATCTACTGCCTTTTTCGTTTGATTTGTGGTAGCATTCAGAAAAGCTTATATTCCTTTTAACCCTTCAATCAAAAATTTAATTTTGTTCCATCAAACTTCGTTGGAACCAATTTAAATAGATATTTCAAAGTGCAAAATCATTTTGGAAGAGATACGATACCGATATCTTGCTAACCAAACAAATAGTCAAGATTACTATTTGAACGATTGTAGAGGATGACCGGAGCAATCGCCGATAGTTACAGAACCTCTTTTTTCAAGCTGCTCGTCCCCTTTGTTGGTCGTTACTCCGTGCGGCACCCTCATCTTCGTTTCTCGATGATCCCATAATACAGGGGCGCAGGTGGCGCCTCGCCAACCGCCAGCATTGATATGCTAATGAAATTTGACGCCCCTGGTTTTGCCCAGTATTGCAGACGCGCGCACACATACATGTACGAATCATGCAGCTCGCGTTTCGCACGTCGCGTCACCATAAGGTCGCATAATTTTTCTCTTCTCGTTTAACCCCTGGCAGCCGTGGTACATTCTGCGAGATTTGATTACCCTAATAGCGTAACGTTGTCGTATACGTACAGTAAAGTGGCCACTGGAAGAATTTGTTGGCTGAATCTTTGTAATCAATGATGGTGTTGTCGTTTCGGACTGTGGATTATCAGAGGCCTTGGAAGCCGTTTTAGGGGAGAGTGAAACTCGCGCTCCGGGGATGGATAGTATTGTGACGGGGAATTTATTAGGGAAAATTAGATTGATAAAGTAGGAGGCTGGAACTGATTACAGTGGAGGGTGTAGGATAATAAATTCTTTTTGCCATTAATTTTGGTCAATGGACAATTTAATCGATTCTTTATTTATATCAATGTAATAAAGTGTCAAATCATGTCATTTCACACTTTCTAAACATTGTATTTTTATATTCTGG